AGAGAGAGAGAGAGAGAGAGAGAGAGAGAGAGAGAGAGAGAGAGTGCACAAGACACAAGTAATTATTCGAGAGAGCGTGTGTATGTGCGCGCGAAAGAGAACAGATTAAGCAAAAGAAAAAGTTCATTAACGAGAAACTTTGATTTCTGCGTGCCTGTGCGGAGAAGCAAGGTGATATATGCATATTTATAAATCTATTACTATAAAGAAAACGGAAACTACAGAAAACGGAACGCGATATAACTCGTATGTTTATGAAGGGATACGCGTTCGTATGTATCTACGCGCGCGCGTAGATAGACATATTTCTAATAAAACCAAGGACAAGACGAAGGGGAAGGAAGATGCAAGAGGCAATTGGATGAGAGGGGCCGAGGCAGTCGGACAGCAAAGTGGGACAATTTCGTTTATGCGGTATCACTCTATATAAATATATTATAATATCAAGAGCTTTTTTGCCAAGTGACAAGGTGGCAGCTTCTGCGGGAATAAGCAGTGATTCACTGGGATCTATTTGGAGACCAGATTGATAAGATACATGTACACATGCGCAAAAAAAAAAAACACAGACACACATAAGAACACAAACACACACATATATAAAGATATATATATATATACACACGCACACGACGGTAAAGAGATAATATATTTAAACGTGACAGAGAGACTCTATCGTTTCTTTCGCGTGCGAACGTTTATCATTGCGCATAATTACGGATTAATTCTTATTACTATTAATTATGGCTCATCGAATCATCGCCATCGTCATTATTATGATTATGATTATGATTATTATATTATAATTGATGTGAGTGTGTGTGGACACAAAAATAAAGTGTACGTAGTAGAAGGTCGGTCTGTTCCACCACCTATGAGTCGTTCCTTAATTCGCGTGCGTCGATGTGCGTTTTTCTCGAGTTTGAGATCGAAACTAATCGGGATAATACGTTTATTTCGAACAGAAGGAAAAGGAAACTGTTGAACATTCTGTGAACTTAAACTAATGAACGTTTTACAACCATCTACAACAAATTCTGCGATTGCGTATGCGAATTATCGAGCCTGTTCCAAGATGAAATCAACTTCTTATTGTTTTACTGTTTGTCCGATCAAAACGTACCTCGGACACGTTAATCGCAATCTTTCTGGTTGGGAGATAATATATTCAAATGAAACTTTGGTTCATTCTAGTTTTCCTGTGCCACTCGCATCTCTATGCTCTTTCTTATATTGGTTTCACGCTTTTCGTCTGACAATATACGCTCTTCCTTGCATCCCGCGTTTTCTAATGTACTCGACGTTGAGAATGTTCCCGTCTCGTTTGAATTAACCAAGTATTCGTGATTAGGGTGTTTTTCAGAATTATCGGCCGTCATGATCGTCTCCTCGGATAACTTTCTGAAGATAACCTGAAGGTAACATATATATATATATATATATATATATATATATATATATATATATATATATATATATATATAAGATAACAATATAATCGATTAAGATATATAAAATGACAATTTAATCGATTGAGATTAAGAAATCTTATGATAAAAAGCAAAAGAAATAATTTATGGATAATTTACATAGATATCGATATATAATTATATACTGACATTTTGTTTATTATAATTGAAAGTATGTTGAGGGCCGCGGAATTCCTCTTCAATCTCGTTGCGTTCCATAATCTGCTCGGTCTCATTAGAATTTACTGGGCTTTCAGAAATCACCTTGATCAGCGGTTTGATCGATTTCTTCATGGAATATTCCGTTTCCGGTAACGGCTCGTTGTCAAGCAACTTCTCGTGTTCTTCTTGTTCTCGTGTTGCGACCGTTGCGAAATCCGGCTTAATCAGTGATATTTTTTTGCTTTCTAATTCGTCTAGATGATCGCAAAATTCTTTGTAAAGAGATACATCGGGTTTTAATGTCGTTGATTGCGATTTGCAAGCGCTTCCGGACTGTCGTAAAAGATTAGCAAACGATCGAGTATCTAAAATAATTTGATATATATATTGAAATCATGTCTATATAACAAATAGAAATGACATATATATTATATATACTACTTATAGTTTTACCGGTATCATCAGCTGGTGCAGTAGATCCCGAATTAATCGTTCCCTTTGCCATCGATTCATGTCTCGCAGGATACGCATTCGTTGTATCTTCAGATTCGCCTCCACATTTGTCACGTCGATTGTTTCGTGCTCTGGAATCGCCCTTATCAAGATCACTTTTCGCCGCGAAAGCGGACGTCAGACATTCTGCGAGACTTCTTCGGCCGTATTTGTTGTAATAACGCGATTTTCCGTTGGCATTCTCCGTGTCTCTTATGAGAGTGGTGATGCATTTGTCAATCAAAGGCGACGCTTTCCTCACGAATTTCCTCGCCTCCTGTATCGCGTGCTGTCTGCATCTCTCGGAAATTTGACCGCGCGTTTTGCGCTTTTCCGACTTCCTGCCAGGATCTACTTCCTCGATGAGGAGAGATTTCTTGGTGTTGACTCGGATGTCTTCGGCCTCGCGAGTTCTTTTGCCCGTCAATCTCGAAAGTTGACTCGTTCTTTCCAAGGACAAGCGATCCATTGTTCGCACGAGCAATTTTACTTGAGAATTAGGTAACTTAGTGGTTTCAGTTGATAATCCTCGTTTGCTACCGCTATCGGGAGATCTTTCCACTTTATCATTTTCCTTATCTTTATCAATCGCGTCAGCGCGCTCTTCTTTATCTAAAGCAATTTCTTTGCAATAATTGTTTAGTGGATTATCGATACTTTTGTTTTTAATTATATTGATAATGTTGTCATTATTTTCCATCGCGGGCAATATCAAACCTTGCGGCGAGCCCTGATTACTCTCTACAATTTGTGTATCTTCTGACAAGGACGTTGCTGTCTTGAAGGACTCATTGTCGGACTCGTCGTCGGGCTCGTTCATGTTTTTCTTCTCTTTCAGCGATTCTAGAGAAAGGCTGTTAAACTTGTTCTCAAAAATGTCCATTTTCGCGTCAAAATTGTCGCCTGCCTTCGCGATACCATTGCGACTCGCAGATTGCTTGTCAGAATCAGCATTCGTTGTTGTATGAATGAGATTATAGATATATTGCCTCTCTGCATCGATTGCGGATGTTTGGGAATTCAGCATTAGCTTGTTTGTAACATTCGGCTGACGTATCCTGAGATCATTGTCGCAATTTCGCAATTCCGCGAAGAGGCTGTCGAGCACTCCGCATGATTTCTCCTGCACTTTTGCAGACTGCTCACACTCAAGACTACTCGCACTTTTCGCGCCATATGTTTCCGTTGATTCCGGAAAAACGTTCGGACAAGTCTTCAATGTCATCAAATCGTAGACATCTTGGAAATTATCAGTTCTCGACATCTCGTCTTCCTGTGGACTGCGATCGATAGTTTCATTCATTCTAATACCTCCTGCTCGATCTTCCTTCGCTTCGTCCTCCCGTTTCTTTATGATTTCTTGAACCTTCAATCTTCTTTCCTTGGTATTCCACCATCGTAATTTATCTTCCTCGTTCGCGGAACCCTCGGCCTCGGTTTCTCGGGTCTCGCGCTCGTCGACTGAATCAGTTTGCGAATTCGCATCCGTCATCCTCTGTTTCCAGAATCCCTCCACCTCGCCGTTCTTGAACACTATCTTGTTTTCGTCAACAAACCTGTCCATACTGTTGCAGAACTCTCTCATCTCTTCTCGGATGCTGCTCAGCTTGGAGCCGAATGGATATTCCTTGCTTTTCCTCGGATAGTTCTTAGCGATAATTTTATTCGTTGTATCGTCTCTCACAGTGATGATTGCGTTCGTGGACTTGTGATCTTCTAACATCGACTTGAGATCCGACGTGTCGCACGAGACGGAACGCGTGAGTCTCTTCTCGTTTTCGCGATCTGTGGGAAACAATTTTCACTTCTATCAAAGACCTTCGTAATCATTTCTTTCGATTACCGAAATTTCTTTGCAGTTCCATCATTTAAGTAAAAGACAATTGATTGAATCGCCCACCTTTCGTCTCGTCGTCGTCCCCGGTCGACTTTCGTAAGTATGGCATCTCTTTTTCGTTTTCTTCTACCGATAATGACTCCGATATTAACTTTTTACTATCAGCAATCTCCCTGCCAACGATAGAACCGCCGGATGGATCATTCGCGCTGCTACGACCGTCCAAAATTTGCCTCCCGAGCCACCTCTTCTCCGCGTCATCGGCGACGTGTCGCATAGACTCCGATATTTCTTCGACTAACCTCCGTGGTTGGCTCTTCTCTCGAATCTAGTCAGCAAAGAATAGGCGAACAGTTTTTTGCGCCCTCTCTTTAGATTACCATTCGTCACAAGAAGATAAGATCGAAGAATACCTCGACTTTCCAGGGTAACAGGAGCTCCTCGTTGTTTCCGTCGGAAACTTTTCTCTCTTCCTCCGCCATTGGCCTCCTTCTGTCACTTTCCTCGCTTCCTTTTTGCCGCATGTCTTCGTTTTCTTCGTCGCTCGCGAGCTCTCCATCAGACGACGACGACGACGAAGAGGCGTAGGAACCGAGGAAGGATCGCTCTTTGGATTTTTTCTTCCTCTCCAGGTCGAGCTTCAGCGTGTTCATCGTGGCCGGCATCACGGTAGGGAGATCGGGGGGTTGGAGGTTTCACATGGTGAATGATCAAATAGTCGAGCGGGATGGGTGATATTATTCGAAGCACGAATTCTGTACCAGACCTTGACGAAACTAGTTCTTACCAGTCCGCTGCTCCTCGGTGCCGCGCTCACGCTTGACTTCGTGGCGTCTTCTGCGTCCTCCTCCTCCTCCTTCTTCTTATCCGCCTCCTCCTTTTCGGACGTCTCGACCGGTTTGTATAGCTTCCTTTTGTTTATCAGGGCTTTCGAGGGCGGACGGCAGGTAAACAAAGACCGATCGCAGAACAGGTGAAAGGGACCAAGGGCGGCCATTTCGAGCCACCTCGTAACCGACGAACCTTTACTCACCCATGACACTGTCGTTGATCTTCTTCTGCTCCGCTTGGATCCATCGGTTCCTCTCGGCCACCTCCTCGTCGACACCGCCGCGCACCCTGGACCGAGAGATATTTTCAAAATAATGATATACTCTCGCTCGCGTGTTCAATCGCTGTTTTTAAAAAATTTTTTTCTGGTTTTCTGATGATAGACTTACCAAGCCTCGGCACAAGCGCGATCACGCGGAAATACTGGCCTGTCGTCCAGATACTGCAGATTCTTGCACTTCAGGATCATAGTCTTGCGGTACATCTTGATCTGCTTCAGCACGGGATTACCGGTCAACGTTACGACGCGCAGCGACTTCATATCACCCAGAATCTAAACAGCGTGACTCTCTTTTCGCGCTTGCGACGTAACATTTCTAGGAGATCGCGTGTCTCGCGTCGCGGACACATTTCGTAACAATGCATATGTGACAAAGCCTTTCATTTCTGAAGTTAATTAAATATGCGAAACTTATTCTATACGTGATCAATATAGAACTGGAACGATTAGATACACATTCAGGTCGAGTTTCTTATTTATAACTGTGATTAATAATAATATCGCGCGAGGTGTTAGATTTCTAGTCGACAATCAGAGTAGAATCGAGTCAGATCGAAAGATTTATAACAATATAACGCAATAACACGCGATACTAGGAACAACGTTAGCGTCACTCGCGGAAGTTCGCTTTCAATGAAAACCGCATTAACGCTGTGACGTCACCTGTCATTTTGGAAATATAGCTCTGGTTCGCACGCCCTTGTGAGCAGCGAGCATAATTGCCGTGACTTACGTCAACGACGTCGCAGGTGTCGATCCTGTTGTGAGAAATGTCCAAGACCGTGAGAGCGTGCAGCAGACGAAGATGCTCGATGTCGGCGGTCTCATGTAGGTAGTTGTGCGACAGGTTCAGGGTGTTCAGGAACTTGAGGTTGTCTGAAAAGCAGAGGCACGTCAAGGTCAAGGTCACCTAGGATACTCGCCTCGACTCGATTCGAGTCACCGAGATTCTCAATCCTCCGTATCGTGTTGTGCGAGAGATTTAGAGTGTCGAGCTTCGGCAGACAATCGAGATTCTCAATCTTTTTGATGAGGTTGTGATGCAGGAACAGGCACTTGAGTTCCCTCTGGTTATCCAGATTGGCGATCTCGCGTATTCCGTTGTTCTCCAGCCACAGGCACTTCAGACCTGTGTACTTTTCGAGATTTTCGATGAAGGAGAAGCCTAAAAGAAACCCTTGTTGTTATCATTTATGAATTCGTACAATCGGTACGATCGAGCGTATCAGAGTGCGTGCCTTTGTAATGCAGGTACAGGACGTCGTTCAGATACGGCGTCTGATAGAGTTTATGTTCCTTGCAGTGCTTCCTGATCAGGTCCTCCGTCATCCTGCAATCACATTTAGCGACGTGCTCTTATTTTTTGACGCGTTAATCGCGTCTATCAAAAATATTTCAAAGTATTATTTCAAATATTCACCTAACACCGTGTTTCTTCTCGTCGAAATCGTACATCTTTCCCTTGACATAGGTTTTCTCAGGTTCCTCGTGAAAATCCGAAAGAGAATCGTCCGATTCCGAATCGGCTTTCATCGATGCTGTATCGATGAAAGCCGGACCAGACGTTTCGTTTTGAAGTTCCTCGACCACCAGTTCGTTGTTCTCTAATTCTTTGATTTCTTCATTGATATTCTCGTCCGTACAAACTCGCACTGACTGGGGCTTTGAGGCCGCTTCCTGGACGACTTCTAAATCCGTGGAGATAATTTTCTGATATTCGTCTATCAGCCGTTTGTGCTCCTCAATTTCATTAGCGAGCTGCCTCTCCAACTCTTCGATTCTCAAATTCTCAGTTATCTCGGACTTCGTCAAAGGTACCTCGAGATCCTCGGGATCCACCTGAAACTCGTCGAGACTGTCGGAATCGTCGGCGACGTCGTTCGGAATCTTGACGTAGCACGGATCGCTGTCGAATGTAGAAAAAGTATCGTTATGATCGCCGACGAGCTTTTCGATCTCGACGAACTTCCTCGACAGTGCCTCCAGCGACTCTTTCTTTCGTTCTTCTATTCTTCTTTTCTCCTCGGCTATTTTCTCGATAGTTTCATGAATCTCGATGAGCGACTTGGGACGATCGGGACACGTAATTTCAGCCAATCTCTCCAAATTGCTCTTAACAACGTCGGACTCCGAGGCAACGACTCGCTCAATTTTCACGTTTGGTAATTTCATTGTGGTACCTTGAACCTTGACGAAACTATTCTTCGTCTCATTCACCATCTCACGCTCTTCGTCACTCTCCGTTTCATTTGAAAGCCTTACCGGCGAATTACCTTCGACGTAACAGTCAGCTGCTTGATTGCCGCTCGTCTTCGACGTGTCCCAGTATGGGCTGTCAGTCAGTATCTTCTTTGCCTCCTCGATCGTTTTTAGTATGTCCTCTTTGGCTATGACAGCTTCGGAAACGACCTGACGACGTGGCAGAAATTCGTCTCCTTGAAATTTCTCTATCGCACATTCGCTGCTCGATCTTCTGAGAACCACGTCTGAGCTTTCGTAGATCGAGTGGCGTCGGAGATACATCATAGATACGTCGGAACAGCTTTCGATGATTCTCCTCATCACATCGTCCTGATCGTCTTCCGCTTTCGCAGCAGATAAAGCTTCCAGCATTCGATCTTCCGCGCTTCGCTCGTCATTACTTGTGTGCATTGCTTGCTCATCATTGCTTGAGATATTGTTAAATATTTGATTCGTTTCATCTGCAGCTGCTTCTCTTGTATCATCCTCTTCGATGTTTACATTGCACGACATATTTTTTGTATTCCCTTTTGCACATTTCAAAAGATTGATATCATTTTTTATCTCACTATCATTTGAACGACAATCATTGGGTTCTGTGACTACATCGAGTTCCTCTCGAAGAAGCTTCTCAGTACTGTCCACATACGACATAACGTTTCCGTCATGCCTCCTTTCTTTATTTTTTATATGTTTTTCAGCATTCGCGCATACGATGATGTTGCTTTCCTCAGTCGTATTTTTTGAGTCTACACAGTTGCCGATGAGCTGTCCTGCAATCTTTTTATTATCATCATCTACGTTTAGGTTATCTGAGGAAATTCCTGAATCGATAGACTTCTCTCCGAGGTGCAACATCTGAATGGCCCTTCCGTATTTTTCAATATTATCGAGACATTCTTGCAAACTCAAACCGCCAAAAGTCCCCTTAGGTAGATCTACCAGAGACTCTTTTTCAAGGATCTTTTTGTCGTTCTCAAAATCTTCTTCTTGAATCGTGTTGTTGATATAATAATCATCATATTCGTGATATTCATCATAGTCGTAATGATCATAATCGAGAAAAGGAGCGCTACAAGCTGTCATATTAGAATCAAAGGAAAGTGTGTTTTTGTCACTTGAATAGTCCAATGTCTGATTGTAACTCGATGAAACCATGTTGTCCTTATTGACGTCATTCGCTGTTTCTATATCGTCACTTCCACAATTCCCCTTTTCGGATTGCGTTTCCTCGACGAGATCCGTCGTAGTAGAATCTGAAGCTTCAAGCTCTGCCGGACGATCCTCGACGACCTTTGCAAATACGAATCGATTAATTAGTTCCATTTATGACAAGTCGTATAACTTCGGAACAAAAGAGAAACGTTTTAACCTTCGAATTAAAAAATGCCACATATACACAATTATAAGAAATCTTATGTCACGAGAACAATTTTTTAAATAAAATTAGAGGAAATACCGTTGCTTTTTACAAGTGTTACGTAACCAATCGGGAGAGTTATCGTGCAATAATTTACCTCGCATTCGGATGCAGTAGAAACATGTTTGCAACTAACAATGATAGACTCTTGACATTTATCCTCTGTCGAGGATTCGACTGAGAGACCATATGCGTTATCCAGCTTGTTATCGCCAAACTCGGACGTATTCATGATTGAAAATAATTTCACGATTGAAACTTCTTTAAAAAGCACGAAAACGAATACAAACTTTCAGCTCAGCCAACGTGAGTGAGTACTAAAAACATGAGCGCGGTGCCATGGTCACCGTTAGCCCTCCCTTGTTTAATCGATACGATCGATCGTCTTTCGTTCCATTCGAGATGCGATTTACACGACAATCGTCCGCCAATCTATCAGACAACAATTTGGAACCGCGAGAGGCAGAAAAGTTTCTCGCGCTACTGCTTTCGACCGATACGCGGCCGAGAATTGCAAAAGTCCAATTTTTTAACTCCCTCGCGCCGTTGGCGATCTGACCGATCACGGGACGTTAGCCGGGGTCTCCTTGGCGCTTTTCTCGCGGAAACCGTATCGCATCGACTCTTTAATGCGACACGGAGAAAATATCAAGTAGATTGGCATATAGATGATCGATCGGGCAGGTCGCGCACAATGTTAGCGCGGTCTCGCGGGGTGTCTCGTCCCGATATCTATTCGTCAGGCGATCTCCGCTCGCTTTGTTTTCATTGCGTCTGGATGCGCAACACACCGTGAGTATGAGTGCCGCTTGTTTTTCCTCTCGGTTTCACCTCTCGCTCGCGTCCCGGTTTCCGTCGTCGTCGTCGTCGTCGTCGTCGTCGTCGTCGGCGCCGCGCGATGATGTTCGCGAATGAATGCTATCAACATAATCCAGCGGAAAAGGCGCGCGGTGGCGATTCGCAAATGCCGCGTTTCTCGCTCTCCTTCTCGTACCACTGCGGATAGTGCGGCCTGTTCGGGGATCGTGGCAGCGGGAAATCGCGACGAACGCGCACGACGCGCGAATCCTGCCGCCGCCACCGCCGCTTCTCTTTTATTTTCCCCTCAAGGCGACGCACGGTCGTCTACTTTCCAGACGCGTCTTTCTACGCAGCATTTGCGACGGAATCCGCATTACTGTGTGTGCCGCGCGCTCTAGTCGCGATAGGAAATTCGGTGGCATATTCGTGCAAAATTTCCCAGTCGACTTTGCCGATGTGCGTCTCACGCGCGAAAATGCTCGCCAATGTTCCGTTGTCTGACCTTTGGAGATGTCGGATGTATAATACGTATGGTAGAGACTTTTCATTTTGTCAATCAGTTAACTGCCCGTCAAACGACCCCTCGGCTTTCCCCCTCGGAATATCCGTAACTCTCAAGTGTAAGAAGAAAAGAAAGATAATTTAATTGACTTCACAGTTGGCCAACAGTAATTGGGTAACCAATGCAACCGGTTAGATTGCACCAACAGTATTGCAGCGGCGACTGATTAGTTCTGGTTAGCTATCCTTTTAGGGTTGCCTCGTATCTCGACGATCCGACTCGACTGATCTATCTAGATTGTGTAGTCTTATCTATAGCGCGCGTAAGAAGGAGAAATCCGTTTGATCGGAGGTCACCAGATTGCGCATTGATGTTAATGGACCGTTAAAAGATATCGCCGTCGTTAATAGATGCATTTTGCGGTGCTTCAGGGAAGCACGGTGCCGGCAAGATATCCCGTCGCGTCTCTTGATCCGTTCTTGATTGCAAGAGATACGTTTCGCGCTCTCGATCGATCTCTAGGTCGTGCACAATCGCGATGTCTGCTTTGACTGCACTTTCTCGATCGACCCTGCAATCGACGCGTACAATGACGCGCGACTTACGTCACAGTGGAATGCACTTTTTCGCGGTTCGACTCGGTAGTGAAAGGTCTGATGTCCGGTTGCGTTTGCAAGGCTTTCGCACAATGTTGCGTCAAGCGGGGCTAATGAGGTAAATTAAATCGTTTGATAATCGCGATGGAAGGTTCGGTCGTCCTTGCTCTGATTAGGAATGACTGGGGCGAGTCACGATACAGCTGATCGCGCCGATAATCGATAACGTCGTTCCTCGCGCCCCGGCTGAAGAAAGCTTTTGCCGGGAATGCAAGCAGCGTGGCGCAGCAATGGCGACATGGTGTGTCATACGCGAAATATCCTACGACGCTATCGTTTGCTGACGGAGAAACACGAGAAGCTTTCACGGAAGTTACACGTGTACTCGACGCCGCGTAATACGATCCTCATACCTGGCGGTTCTGACGACGACCGCCACGCGAGTGGTATCACATTTGTGATATATCGACGTAGCTGTCGCGCGACGTTGTTATTATTTAACTGATAGAGCGAAAATTTACTGCAACACGCACGAAAAGTAATACAGTATTTATATTCTGAGGATCAAGCGGCATTCTGTGCAGGCCGCTTCGTAATATGATCGCGCGTGCTGATTTCTTCGGGGCGGTATTCATACTCAAATCTTATGTTTAAGATCGTCTTAACTCTTGAGCTTTCTACGGTGAGTCGGTAGTGATGAATCAGAGATCAGCAGCGAATTGTAAGCGAGTCACTAGTGTAACATAAGGCAATAATAAGTCGGTAATCAGTGACTGCATGGAGATGGGCAAATTTAATGATCAATGAAACGATTGGTACATTATCTGAAGATGAACGTAAGACAGTCTCAAGTACAAGATCCGAATATGAATACCGGCCTAAAAGGTACCGAACACGGTGAAGAGACCGTGCGTTACTTTTCGATAAAATCGACTTCTCTTTACAGCGAATCTCATCGTGACCATGACCTGGCCGGTATGTAGAATCTTTTCGGCATAAGTTATATTTCGGGATGTTTGAAAATTTTATCTTGTATCATTGTTCGCTACCTCATCGCTCCTGGAAGATTAGCGTCATTAGATCACGTTCAAATGTAATTATGCCAGGTCGTCCTGTCTGTCCGTGACTTTTAAGGACGCGATACATGCACATACAATTAGAGCTCGATCCTCGGATCGCTCCGGCCACAGAGGAGCTTCTCCGATTTTTATCGCCGGCTAAAAATAGACACCCCGATTGCACAACGCAATCGAAGATCGAAGGTGCAGATATCAATTTTTAGCACCAGGCGACTCCACTTTTCGCGAGACGTCTCGTGACCGTGACCTCGAGGATCGTCCATTGCGACGAACATGGTCGCGGACGTATGCGTACGTATAGGGTGTATCAAACTCGTCGAGCCTGCAAGAATGAATTTTACGAAAAGCCGAATCAATCAACTCCAGCATTGATTGAGGCGCATACAATATTTGGAACATCTAAATCCAAAATTGACTGATTTTCCCTTCGGCTTTACGGTGGATTTACGGTCAACTTTCACCCAATAAGCGTTGTGTCGAGAAAAATTGGAATCTACATTTTGAAAATCTCTTGGAAGGACGATCTCTTGACTTTCAAGAGAGGAGGACAGTCGCGCGTAATGAAAATTTCCATTGCAGGAATGCGTGACATCGACGACACCCCTTATATCGAGGCGCTGACGCGCTCTTACACGTCTAGGATCGCGATTCGAATGCATTATGTAATTGACGGCGATCCTCGGCGTGAGCTCCCACCTTCGCCACCCTCGTAGCTCCCTCGCGCCGGCTTTTGAAAAGCAAAGTAGCCGTGGGTGGCCATGTCCTTTTCCTTAGGAATGCAAGATCGCACGTTGCGGTGGTGGAGGAGGCGGAATCGTATTTGAATACGCTTTGAATCGACGATCGGCCGTGAGCGTCTCGGCGGCGACGAAATTCGTCGATTTAAAGACCACCAAAGCTGGGAGAAGAAGAGGAATCACGGCTGTTCGTGGATTATAAAGTGTAATCGCACGTGCCAGCTGATTACAGCCGAACTGTCAATGTAATCGATTCGCTGACGAGCGATTCGTATCTCTTTTCTGATACATATTCCGCTGCTAATGATAATTAAGACTGTATCTTATCGCAATTGATGTGATTGAACGTTAACATCGCGTAAAAGCCAACAAATGCGTGAGAAAACGTTAGGTTCCTTCGCGTTCTTTATAATCTTTTCTCGTTAATTAATTCGCTTGAAATTCGGTCAGTGGCAATTTGACACACATTTCACCGTCGCAATGAGGACTCGACAGCGAGTTTTTAGGTCGATCACGCGATGAAACTCAAGACTCCGTTTCCGAATAGTCTTTTTGTCAGTTGATGTATTCATTACGAAATACTTTGTAAATCGCTGAACTTGACTTGGTTTTCGTGAAAATTTGTAAAGAGCATTACCAAGTACAATTAGAAGACAACCTATGACAAGGTACGCGAAATTCAGACCGAGAAGTCGTAGGTTAAAGGAAAGGCCAAGAACAGCAAAGCCCTACGAGAACTCGAGCAACAACTAAGGTCCGAAAATGCTTCGTAAGCCCGCCGAGAGACGCATGAATTGGGAATTAAGGCGAAATCGAAGGGACGGGACGCGCTTTCGTTCGAGAGTTAATTCTATTCGGCCGGTTGCGGCGAGACGACTCCGAGTCGTCGACATTCCATCCGCGTGACGGGAAAACGTGTTCGTACTGCGAGAAAAGCGTCCATTATCCTGGTACGATCGCGTCGACAGAGAGGACAGGGGAGCAGCCGATGGATGTACGACGGACGAAGAAGAGGCCGACATCGATGTCGGCTCGATGTCGTCCTGGGAGCCGCACGGAGATGTAAACAACACGTGGTAGCCACTTCAATTTATAACGGGTAACACGGCGCCGCGGATCTTTGTAGGTCATCAAACAAAAGGGCAGGAACGAACGGATCGTCCTGCGCGCGTGAGACGTCGCTGGAAATCATTAGAATGCACGTGCTATTGAACGCCGTTAAACCGATCGATTATATGGCTGTCATTGCAGTTGTACACAAAGGTGAATACATAACTATCTTCGAAAAGGTAACGTGAAAAGAGAAGACCGCAAACCGACAACTTTGAGTCGCGCTTACTGTCTCCACCATAGTCGACGCGAGTAATGATGTGAGGCGAGGGAATATCCTTAGAATATTCTTGTCCGCAGACGGTCTGCCCAGAACATCCTTGAAATCTTTTTTCTCCACGTAGAGTTGTTCAGAATACTCATGTTTTACAATCGGAAAATATTCCCCGGATATTTTTAGTTCCGCCGTAAAATGTCACACTTGCTAATGCAAAAGGAAATGTTTGCTCCTCTTCGCTGAATGATTTCTAAGACTCTTACTCTCTTTCAGCCGATAAAAGTGCTTTTCAATGTGCCTGAAAGCCAATCAAAATGTTCACACCCCACATTTAGTGATGCTTATCGATAAGAGAGAGTTTAGAATAAGAACCTAAATATTTCATGGAGAATGAGTTCCTTGTTGCAAGAGATTGCAATTAAAAAGTAGAGAATTTTTCTTTTTTAAAATTTTGTAAATTTACTGGGCAGAGGGAAAAAGAAATGAAGAATAGAAAGATGAAAATTTAAAGGATTTTCCTTGATCTTTCTTCATTATTATGGTAATTAGAGATTATGTCACTTTTAATTTCATCTTTTTAGTTTCTCTGTCTTTCTCTTCACGAGATAACATCATCATCTCGTGTCGCGCACATACGCGTACACCTGAGCGTACGAGCCTGCTGGTCATCTCGTTGGCCGTGATGTTTTTACAACCGAATACCAGCGAGTCTAACGCCACCGGGGCCGATCCGTCTGTCTCTCTAACGCTCGCGATGCAGTCGCGAAGCCGACGCTCCGCGGAAAATTCATAAATAATTGATAGACGGGACGCGGCAGCGGCGCAGATGCAGCGGGCTCGTCCCTGAGACTGATGGGCTCGTTTATTGTTTATATACACGCAGGTAGGCATTTTCTCCGATTCCGCGGCGATATAGGTAATCATAAGTTGCATCGCGCATCGCGTCAGGGCTTTTCTTTCCATAAATTTGAATAACATTCTCACTTCCTGCGCCATCCACCACCGTCGCAGCGAAGCTACGCGCGCCCGTGACCTCGCCCTTAGAAGGAGGGATATTCTGCATTCGATTGAATTGAATCGCGTATAACATTATCGGTCG